TTCGGGCTGGAGATGTTTGATCAACGGTCGCGGCGTACATGAATAGGAAGACAATACGGGAGGAATACAATCTAAATGTCAAAGGAATAAAACATGTGGATAAACATCCTCTGATAAATAAGGCATTAGACATGTACATTTTGTGACTTTTTTATGCAGGAAGTGTTCGCGGTTCTGTTGTTTATTTTCAACTAATCAATCTGTGAATTTTCTTCTTTTTTTAAGCTCTGGCAGGTGCTTCTACATGTACCTGTCATTTGGTGGTCGCTCGGTCTGTCTGTCTGTCTGTCCCCGGAAAATTGACCAAAATATTTGACTAATTGACCAAAATATTTGACTAATTGACCAAATGCCATGCCGTCGTTATACAATACACTCTTGCTGATGGTTTCGGAACAGCGATTTTGTTTCAAACAATGCGCATGCGCGTCTATTTTGCATATAAAGTGAGGCATTCCTGAACCGGGCCATACAGAGCTCATTGTGCTATTACTGTTTCTGGATACTGTAGACGCTGGACAATTTTTTTGTAAATGATATATTTTGGAGAGAAAAAAATGATACGTATACTTTTGAAACACTCACTTTTGAAAAATACATGTTAAATTCAAATTATTCAAATTCACAAGATCTGTCAAATCAGTTGTGACTAATATTTTTATCTTACAAGAAAATGTTTTCAAAAGGTCTGAATGTCGTGAACTGAAAAATGTAATACTTCCTTCAAAATGAGAACTACCAGGTACATTTGTACGTGGAGGAGTAAAAATTTCTAGACATACAATTTCTATTTTGTTTTTACTGTTTTAGTACATAAAATATGTGTTATTAAAAAAAAATGCTTCACTTATGCCTTAATTAATTGCATCACAGACATGAAACCTACAAGCCCAAACTTAACTGGCATAGGTGTATGAAACCTACAGTTTTGTTCCCTGAGGCAATTTGAATACTATTATTCATGGCTCCCACATTCTTTTTATGCCCTGTATGGAAACAGCTACCGGTATAAGCACTACATTTATAATACATCTTAATTAACCAGTTTATTGATGACAATTATGTTCATGTGAAATGTACCGGTACATGTATAGCCATAAAAAAGATGATGAATAGCCATAAAATAAAGGACCATATGCCATGTGTACATAACATGTGAACCTGATTTCTTGGCATTTGAACAGTTTTCTCCGTGGTTTGTAGATTTTTTAAGGAGGCAGAATTTCTCAGTTCAGTTTTAGCTCTATTAGTAGCAGAACAGCATGTGTTAATTCCTATTACGGTAAAAAAAAAACACACATAAATAAAAAATTAGGCCAAAAAAAAGAAGAAGAGATATCAGGCATATTCAGAAAGCGAAACCAGAGTTGAAATTGGGGAAAATAAAAACACCGAACAATTACAAAGTATTTTCTATGTAATTGTGACTGTACAGTAATTGTAATTTAGCAAATTTGTCTCGTGAATTCACAGCCTGTTATGATCAGCTTTGCACAGCTCACTATAGCGCAGAGCAATGAGAAGCGTAGTACAGGCAAATACTTCACGTGAAGAGGACTGGCCATGCACTCATGTTTAATGCATGACCGGATCATGATATCACCGGTATGCATGACCAGTCATGCATCGGCAATTCATCCTATCTTGACGAGGCAACGCGACCGCATCCTCCGCGGATGCCATGACGATATGACTCCCTGGCTCTTAACTCTGATTGGGTGCTTAGATACTAAGCGCTATAATTGCTATCATTGCAACAGCCTGCGTACTATATCAACACTACAAGCACGGGATAATGTTGTTTGTATTCCTGCAATCAGACGGGATGGTGAGAACATGTCTCGCCAAGGGGACATTTTGTGTCATCCCACTGAGGAAAATATAACGATTCTCCATCATTTAAGCTACAGTCCATCATTTGTAATTTGTGCATTTTGTTCGTTTGAAGCAAAAAAAGAGTTCAAAATCTAATGAAGGATACTGAGCAACTAACCTAATATGAAGTTTCAGCTCAGCTTCAGCTGTCCATTCCGAGAAAAACAGCATTCTAAGATCTCAATTTCAAATCAAAAGTTACTGAATCATGTTTTGAATTGTTTTGAATTGCAGCTATACGCGACGTCGCGCACTGATCCGACGAATTATAACAACCACGCGCGCGTGTGCGTCGTTCCAATACTTGTGCGCGCTGCGCTGAATAACAAAACGAACTACTAATTTAAATTTTCCTACGGTGCATTTTAAGAATCACCGTTGGAAATGCCTTCTTTCGTTGATTACTTCAAAATGACAGCTTCCCGTAAAGAAAAATTTCACAGGGAGTTTAGTTCCCTTACTATCTTTCATCCAAGTTTGTTTTTCAACAATAAGTACGCCAGTTACTTTTTGGATGGCTGCAAATGATGGACTATAGCTTTAAGCAACTTATTGAAATGTACACGAACAGTCCTGTTGTGCAGAAATCTTTCTTTAAGACAATTTTATCCGTAGACAATGTCTCTTCGAAGACAATGTTTTATTTCAAAGATCAAATCATCAAACATTGCCAAGCATATAAACAAAAAGTGGGAGTCAAAAACCAACTGGTTCAATATATTATTAAATTCAAGGTTGTACATTCATTTCCAGAGAGTAAAATCCATCCAATTTGTGTATGATTTCAAGTATACCACCTAGTGCAGATGATTTATTCCACTCCATTTTATTGTTCCTCTCCCAGAGCCACGTATGGGCTGGGTTGATCCCTTAATTAGAATAACCAATGTTCCCGCTTTAAAAGTTGACAAATTGCATGATCTTTCAAGATAAAGGACTACCCTTAATTCCTTCCCCCAACACCTACAAATAACCAGACCACATGAAAATAAATTGGCGTGAGTTCTGCAATTTCTTTCTTCTTTTCAGCATCTTTATTATATCTAAGATCATCACTGACATCCAATACCTCAATCCCAATTTTACTCCAGCCAATGAAGAGGAAAACTAGGCTTATCCTTCTTCGCCTTGCTTTCTTCCATTTCTAGACTTCAGTGCCGTATCCAACAGGGCAATTTCCCCCAGCGTTGGGGATACTTCCCCCCCCCCCCAACTCCATTGTTTTTGCAGAGGTCTGGTGAGTGGGAAAAATCTTGGTAACCTTGTTCGGAAAACAAATATCAATTATGTCCTCCCCTCCCACACCCAAAACCTGTCTATCATCCCCTACATGACTTCTAAAGTTACATGTAACTCCCATTGCACCTCAGGACCCCCTTCTCAAGAAATTGGGCTATCCTGCATTTTTTGTCCTCCTGCTCATCTCCATTTGCCTTCTCATGATTTCCTATGGCCCCTCCCACCCACACCCAACTTCAATAACAAGGTCCCATCCCCTCAACACAACAAAGCTCAACAGAGTTCATCCCTCCCCCAACACCACAGTCTCATGCAAGACCAGACACTGAACGACCTCGCCTGACCCCAGGAGCAGCCAGACACCCTTCAGGCTATGGAATGTTGTCGCTACGGCAACACTTTAACAACCTGTCACCACCTGTGAGGAAGTTTTCAAGAGATGACCTACATCACCCTGGAACACCCTGCTGAGCTCTGTAGCTGCACCTCAACTCATTTCGCCCCTCCCTAGTCCCTACCCCACCCTTCCCAGTGGAGTAGGGTGGGGTTTCCTGAAACACTATATGAGGTGATTTGTCACTCTTTCAAGACTTGCAGACAAAGAGTAAAGTACATGACTGCTGAAAACCTTGAGTCATTTTTACCTATCACATGTCTAATGAACTGATAGATTGAAAGTAATGAAACATCATCAACAATAACAGGTAACGTTGATCTGAGACCAAAAAAAAAAAAACACTTAACAAATGATACCCACAAACTTTACTCATTTAACAAAAGAACGTGATCAACTAATGTTGACTATTAAAGCTATAGTCCATCATTTGCAGCTATCCGAAAAGTAACTGGCGAAATTATTGTTGAAAAACATACTTGGTTGAAAGATAGTAAGGGGACTAAACTCCCTGCATTGCCCTGTGAAATTATTCTTTCTGGCAAGCTGTCATTTTGAAGTAATCAACGAAAGAAGGCCTTTCCAACGGTGCGTGGAAATTTCTGTTAGTAGTTCGTTTTTTTATTCAGCGAAGCGCGCGCAAGCGTTGACATGACGCACACGCGCGCGTGGTTGGTATAATTCGTCGGATCAGTGCGCGACATCGCGTAGCTGCAATCAGCTCAGTGACGCTGAATTCAGGCCCAATTCAAAACATGATTCAGCAACTTTTGATTTGAAATTGAGATCCTAGAAGCTGTTTTTCTCGGAATATACAGCTGAAGCTGAGCTGAATCTTCATCAGGTTAGTTGTTCAGTACCCTTATTTAGGTTTTGAGCACTTTTGTTGCTTCAAACGAACAAAATACACAAATTACAAATGATGGACTACGGTACATCTTTAATGAAAGCAAAATTATCACACTCCTTTTTTCTACAAAATCAGAAGCAAGGGATGGAATTCGCAATTTCAAAAAAGGTTTGAAAATATAATAAAGTGGAATGCTTTTTGTGTGACTTTCTTTAGCTGCATTGCCATTCTATGCAAAGATATTACAAATTTATTGGGTTCAAAAGGTCTGATGATTTCAGACAAAAGATACTGTACATATAATGTATCATGCCTGCGGGCTGAGAAGAACGTTAAGACAAACTTGATTTTTCAAGGTGTGTTGAAAGAATTGTTTGAAACACCAAAACTTTGTAGTGATAAGCCCATCCACTTTTCATTTAGAATAGAATAAAATGAGACATTCCCGACTCTTTTGATGATTTTGCTAGGAATCTGCCTAAATCCTTGCACATCCAAAGCTGTGCAGTAAACACCAACACCTATATTCTTAATACTTCAACTGGGGATTCAAGTCCTAGTCAAAATGTCCAGGCTATACCTTCTTCAATCCTTCAAAACTCTTGCGGGATCTGGAAGGGTTAAGGATGAAAATTTCCTCACCTTTGCGACGTCTTCAAACGTGGAAAGCCTCCTTGGTTTGCTGTTCTCATTTTCATCCAGTTCGTCCGACTCGTGTCCATCCACGATGCCTTCGTCGGTGTTGGTGCTTCCCTGGCTCTTCCTGTCATCATCTTCATCGTTGTCTGGACCCTCCTCTCCCATGTTGGTCATCTGGTCAATCAGATCCTCCAGGGGGTCGCTCAGGACCCGTTCTTCCTCCTCATGGCAACCGTAGTCGAGGGCATGGTAGACGATGCGGCCCAGGGCATTCACCATCTGAGAACGGGGCCACAAGTAAGGCACATTTCAATCAAACATTTTGAGTTTGAGAAGTTGGAAGAAATCACCATTCAAAGTGGCCGTCTCCAAAAATAGAGTTGTGAAGCCAGATGTCACCAGATTAGTTAGCTAATTATTCCATATCAGTCAAATGCATGCGGCTTCCAAAAGTTTGCCATTTGGGGCCCAGATTATTTTTTTTTATTGGATTTGAAATTACTTCTGTCAACTAGGACTAGGATTTCTTAAGCCATTTCTGATAGGGTGTTGGCTGATATTGCCTCAATGCCAATTTCAACAAATTCTTCAGCAATATCAATAATTAAAATAAAGAGAAACAAAAAATGGGTGGCTAGACAGAGTATTTCAATTTATAGAGGATTACACACCTACCCTCCCCCTCTCCCCTCTTATCCCCTACCCACACTACATCAGGGCCCCCAAAAAGACTCCGGTTTCTGGTATGCGCGTGCGTATCCTTAGTCATGCGAGTCGGCAATTTTAACAATTTTTTTCATATTAGATGATGTCTCAAAACCGCCAAACTCACTGGTTTGACTGGAATCCTGCTGCTGCACAATTTTAACGTGTTTTTAGATGGGGTTGCGATTGAGTATAAGCTTTATGTGGCCTCTCTGGACTCCCATATATTTGGCACTAAATTTAGTCTGGCACCATTTGCAGTCATCAGCCAACATTTGAAGAAATTTTTTTTTTTAAAGTAAAAAAAAAAAAAAAAGCCACGTTGCCGCACCACTTTTGGGGCAAGCTCCATACCAGAAACTGGAAACATTTTTTTTTGGCCTTAGAAAGTGGCTTTCAAATTTAAGCATCCCATGCAGCAAAAAAATGCCACAATGTATTACTTCACTGTAGGCCTACTGTTTGCATAACGTGCGTGGGAGACAATGACAAATGAAAAACATTGTTTTCTTGTTGGGATCTGAACTTTTGACATTTGAGTTTCATGTTCCGTGGGTGGACAAGAAAGCTTTTAAAATTCTGATCAGATGCAAAAACCTACATGTAAGTCCAACACCTACACCTTTGCCATGTTTGTGATGGCTTCACATTGACGTGAAACTTCAGACGGCCGATCAGAGTGATCAAGAGTTCATTGAGTTAAACGTTGAGGATATTAAATAACAAAACAGAAAGAAATAGAAAACTCTATTCAAATGTTATTTACTAACAGAGAAAATAAAATACATGTATATAATACATCAGTATTATATGATTATATGAATCAATGATGGCATTTTATACCACTTTCTGAATAATTGAAAATGCTTATGCAGGAATGACAGTTTTTTAAACTCAAGTTCCAATAAGAATAATGTTTTTAACATTTATTAAAGATGAGTGTTTGCTATCAAGACTTTCTTATAAAGAAGTAAATTTATACAATTTCACTAGGTTTCCTTGCTCTCTAGGTATGAACTCAGGAATGAGGATTTTGCCACTGGCTTACGCTTTTCACGATTCAAATTTGAAAACAATATTGGGTATTAAATGCAGTCTTCTGCAAACGACATTATACCAAATTTGCTAAAAAAAAACTCAGTAAAAACATTGGCACTTGTTCTTTATTTCCACTAGATTTGAAAGCCATGTCTTAGAAAAAGTCACGAAAATGACGAAATTTCTCAAATTCCTGCTAGAACTACCTGATTTCAGAAAAAGCCCTATCCCCATTCTTATTGATATTTCAAACAGGCAAATTTTTCATTTTTAATCCCAACATTTTTAGTACGTTACACTTTTAAGAGTGTGGTTTTTTTTAGTGTTGTGAATGTGTGTCTCTCCATTATTTATCTCATAGTTCAAAATGTTGGTACTCGTAATTTTACTGCATTACTGTATTGATGTCTTTTATATTATTTTAAATTGTCACATACACAATTTGGCCGTTAAGCCACAAGATGTATGAAATAAAACTCAAACCAATAAAAAAAAAATCCAAAAACTGGGACACTTTTGCTGACAGTGTTTTTGGTCAAGCTGGATTTTCCAGAGCTGGAGAATGCCGGTGTAGCGTGAATATCCGACTCCATGAAATGTGGACTCATTGGTAGTACTGCACATGCGCAAGCATGATAACATGCTATTCTTAGGATCATAATGGGAGAGTGACCTGTCACGTGTGAGGGATTAACCAATATTAGGGAAAAGGGGTCCGATTTTCATAGGAGTTGGATTTTTATATGACACCGGCATTGAAGACTTGCCACTAAAATCCAATCATTTGCACTGCACAGCTCTACCGGATATCTTTGAGATGAGTGTTTCTGCTCAACAAAACATGGGGAGACGTCTTGTGCATTCATAATTAATGAATTAACATAACAAAACACACCTCAAAATGGCATCTGAAATCTGAATGCAATGGATCTATGTGACAAAGTGTAAGTAAAATGTAAGTTGAGGAAATAAACCTTTGACTGTCAAAGTGATATAAAAACTTAGGAATCACTGAAATTAAAAGCAGTTCACAAAAAGCTGATTAACTTTGCTAGTATTGTGTCTTCTACTTCAAGCTTTACACCTTGAACTGCTTCTTGACTATTTCTTCTACCACAACAGCTTATTCTAACACTGATCTAATCCTCTTTCAGCTAACCACAGAGTATTATGTTTACTGAAATGCAAGGCACCACTGGGCCATGGGAAAGTCCTTCCTGTTAAATTCCAGCTCTATTGTGAATCGCTCAACCGTTGCGGAATCCATCTACCATGCAGGAAAGCTATTCAACACCCTGACTCACAGCTGTATTTTTTTCTGACAAGGAATTTACCTTGAAGGGTGCAGAAAATAGATTTCAAATAAACACTGGTGTATTAAAATATGTTGCCACTTGCCAATGGCATTTTACTTTGACAAAACTATCGGATTAACAATACTCAAAAGGTAGGACCTTTTTTAAAATGGCATTTTGGTGTGGTTTTATCAAGTACTCTGTAATGCCGGAATAGGATTTGGACACAACCCTGAAAGGCTCTGTAATCTAGTTTGGTTGCTTGAGGTAAATGAAAAACATTGAAGGGAAATTTGAGTGAGGCAGTATTAAACATTTGAGAAACTACACCGCAGTGTTTCAGGTGAGTCCATCACAAGTTATCACGATCACAAGTCCATCACAAGGGGCCAGTCTCAATTCAAATAACAAGCTACTCAAACAAACTGTGAAAGGCTGGTGAAAGAACTTGTTAATTGTACTTGCACGAAAAGCTTGGGAAAGATTTCCATATACGAAGTTCACTCAACACCCTGTGTACAAACCCTATGAGATTGGACTGAAAAATTCTAAGTGTTTTCTAAGAAAATGCTTGTATTTTCTCACTGCTCAAATTGACTTTGATGACATGAAATTGCTATCTGGAGGCTTGTTAGTCAATACAGAGGAAAATTAGTGAACTTCGTATATGGAAATCTTTCCAAAGCTTGTGATGGACTTGTGGTGAACTCGACTACGACACTGAAACATCTCAGAGAATTAAATCGACACTAAATTTTCAGGTAAAATAGGATGTCTGACCATAATTTTTGGTAAGACATGCCTAGTGGGCGTTAGTCGATGGAGGCCTAGGCCACGTTTAACTCATGATGTTACACTTTCTTTAACACAAAATTGCATATATTTAAAAACAGAAGCAGACTTTTTAAATTTATCATCAAACTTCTACATTTGATTATTTATAATCCACTTGCAATCTTCTTATTTCTCCAAGATACTCAAAAGCATGTAACAAATATTTACAAAAACAAAGGTTTAAAAAACTTTAAAAGTTTCATTCACAAATCATACCTCTGGTTCTGTGTGAAATATCTCTTCCGTCAAATCTATTAAAAATGAAAAATAACAAATTTTATAGTGTCAGCAAATAGGTAAACACAAAATCTCATGAACTATAAATATTTCATATCTCAAAAGTATAGTTGGAAGACTCAGATTAAAGTTTCTACAAATTTGTCTTAATAATTAATTAATTTAATGAGGAATATATTTAAAGGTTTGTTTAATAACAATTACATTTTAAAGGTTTCAGTAAATTCTTTTGGAATAAAACCCGTCAAAAAAACCACGTTTGCATTTGCAAAGCGTCACACCCACTTCCGGAAATGATGCAAACGTCATTTCCTCAAGCGTGAATTCAGAATGCCTACCTGCCGTGTTTTCGTCGTCGTCGTCCCGCATCGAGTCCGTCTCAATCGCGGTGACCGTGACAGACCCATCCTTGTGCACTCGAACCGCTTCGGCACCGTCCAGAGTAAATCCCCTGTCAGTATCTCTCCCCGGCCACGACACCTTCAGAAACTGGGCACATTGGTAGCACACGGCCCATGCTTGCTCTTCGTTTAGGGGACCGTCAAAAGCCGACAAGATTTTGTCCAGAGAAACGGAGTTTTCCGGGAGGCGATCGGCTGTCAGTGTCAGCTGCGCCATGTTGTTCGTACAAATTGTATGCACACGAAATCCAGCTGCAGATACACCGTTAACGCGCGCGTGGAGGATCGGACTAGACTGCAGTGAAGTGCGCCACCGACTTTCGCTTTCTTTTACGACTTGCTCCCTCACTTTGTTATGGTAATTTTGTCTTTTTGAGAGAGGATTAGATTTTAGTAAAGTCGGCAAAGTTTGGTAGAGTTCATCCTCAAACTACTAAGTTGTTACTAAACGAAAACGAAAAACAAGAGTCACTTTTCTGGATATAGTAAAGTGCCACAATGCATACGTTTTAATACCGACTTCAAAATCGGGACATTTTCTTTTTGCCACGCCCATGTCTAAAAATAATCACAACTCGTCAGTATTTCGACCGACCGTGAACTGTAAATGACATTGCCTTTTGTATAAATTTGCCGGAAGAAATTCCAAACGGGCCAATTATTTGATAATTGTGGTTTTAAAGTACCGGTTGTCGGTAAACAACATCAAAAACTTCATATCCTTCACCTGTGATTTTTGTCTCGAGCTAAAATTTAGGATTTTTGAAAGTTCCAAACTTTGTAAGGAAGTGGAAGTCTGTATGTAAATATTTAAGAAATGTACAAATGGGTATTTTAAATTTTGTAAAAAGTGTAAAAAGTGTATTTATAAACAACAGCTCTGCAGATGAATTGATGTGTACATGTATAATTTATTCACATTTCACAGAATTCACAATATATTATTTATATATCGTATTTACACATTATATTTAATTCAGTTAATTTTGACAAATCAAAACGAGCCAGTTTATTTAATGGAACACTGTATCATTATCCTGTACTGTTATAAAACAAAATCATTTTTAAACTATAAAATGAGTCTAAAACATAAAAAACCCTGGTGTGGACAAATTTCTATACAAAAAATAATGAAAACAAATTTAGTTTTATATTTGGTTATATCAGTCAACAATTTAGTGGATGCTGGATGTATTTTACACAAAATTCCTCTATTAGACCATTTGATGGAAATTATTCATTTTGACAGCCAAAAAGAAAACCCAAAATATGTCATTCATTTGCTCCAAGCCAAATATTTCTCATTAATTTTAGGCTTGTTCGGAGTAAACAGTACCTTTCATTTAAATTGTACCTTCTATAATAAAATTACAAACTACTAATCACAATTTCTTTGTCAAGTTTTTCATTATTTTGCTGGAAAAGCATTCATCGTTCAGCAGCACATACGTTCAACAGTTCTGACAAAGTTTTGGACAAGTCACATCTCTATAAGGTAAACTCTTCAGCACAAACTGTCCTGATATTCTCACAAGACAGTAAACGCTGTGTTCTCTTTTTAAGACATTATTCAAACATTTGAAACTAGTTATTGGTTAACTTCATATTTCATATAAAAATACATGAACATGCATTTTTTTACAATGTCAAATGATGGCCAATACAAGAAGTATTAACATGACATGTTTATAGGTGGGTTATGCAACGTGGCTGGTGGTTTTTAAGTTAACAAGCTGACATGGGGCTACGAACATGCAAAAAAATGACTTACTTGATCCGAAACTAAGCTAACATACATGTATGCACAACTTTTGCTCATTTTGAAGACTTGCCGAATCAGAGTTTTTCTAATTATTTCTAGCAGTGCCTGGGGATGATGTAAACACGGAGCTATATAGCCTATGATTAAAGGGCATTATGGCCTGAAATCACGAAAATGTCATGTTTTGTTTTTTTTATTTATAACTATTTCAAAGGTCTGGTTGAAAGGAAACAAACCTAATGTCTTACTGTTCCCAAGTAAAGACGGAAAACCCCGTTTTTGTACATCAGACGCAATGGACATTTTGTGGGATACCCATACGTATTTCAAGTCGTGTCTATTCAATGCAGCGTACACGGAGTATGTGTGGTGCAAAATCCACACATTACAAATTCACAGAGTGCATTGGGAACTACGGTGCGGCTGGATCACAACTAGCACCGAACAGCTTGATTTTTCTGGATCAAAAAAGTGACCCCCGAAAGTTGTTCTTGCATGGTTCTCGCAAGAATAACCCCCCAAAAAACGCTCAGTGTTTAAAGGATGGTTGTGTGGGCGTTTATATTCTACTTTTAAATACTCTTTCTATTTCATGTCATTTCATTTAAAACACATTTTGTAGCCCAATTGGGTGCATTCCAGGCCATAATGTCCCTTTAAATTAACTTAATGACCAATCAGCAAGGGTTATTCTTTTTAAATAAATACTGAACATCAAAGAAAAAAAAATCATGATTGGCAAATAACAAAACCCAAACCAGTGCATTAATTAGTACATACAGTTCCTTTGGAACTCCAATTACATGCAGGTTTACAGATGCTAAAATCAAGGTATTTAATTTACCGTACCCCTTGCTGTTAATTAAACTAAACTTACGTCTACACCCAAGTACAAACATATTTGCTGTTTGTATAGAACGCAACCAATTACATTTACAATTGTAACCAAAAGGGCAGCATTAGATAACCAATGACATTATTGCACAATTCTATGCCGCGGATCGTTTTAAAGGTCATGCACTGCCAATGTCCGAAGAGATTTGTACAATCGAATTTTGTGTCAGGAAGATGTGAATTTTAATACTTGTATTTTATCTTCATCTTTACATAGAGTTCCACCATGCGAGACAGTTATTGTGTTACCTAATGCTATTTAAGATTTGAATCAGCTAACTAATCCTGCCAGCTCAGGGCAAGTTCGCGCAAGAACTATTGTTGACCATTGGTTGACCATAGTTCGACTAAAGTTAGCCCGAACTCTGTCTAGTCGACGGTGGTTGACTACGCTAGGCGACTATTTGGAACCAACCTACTCGGGCTGGTTGCATCGCTGGTAACCAATAGCCGTACCTATTCATAACGTACAGCAGGGTGCCAGGGTCCAGAAGTTTTGCGATGACATTTTGACCAGCGTTTGACTAGAGTCGTTCGCACGTTGCTATTAGTGCGCATGCATAAGGTACGTCACAAATCAACCACTAGTCGGCTAATGGTCCTTGCCCGAACTTGGTCACTGTCGTGAAGTGGCCGAGACATCTGCACATTTGTAAGCAGAAGGATATGGGTTAAAAGTCCCACTCGAGTAAGCTTGTGATTTTTTTTTCTCACAAGACCTCACGTTTCAAGTGCACAACTGAATATTAACCCTAACTCTTTCGGCATTTTTTGCTAGGATGCAACTTCAATTCTGCAAAGCTCTCCATTTGCCTCCATGTAAAAATTGCATACAGCCTCAATCCTGCAAAATCCTTTATTTCTTGAATGTGGTCCTTGGAGGGGTGACCCCTGCCTCAATCCTGTCAAAACAGGCAGAGCCAGTGACATCCTGGAGCAGTGCGGAGGATGAACAGTATCGTCTAAGCCTAAATTTATGCACGGCTGAGCATAAACAACACAAGGTCTGGCCCAAGACCTTGACACAGTGCATCCTCCAAAATCAGCCACACCTTTTTGCCATATAGCCTCAATCCTGCAAAATCCTCCATTTTGCAAAGAGGATTTTGTAGGAATTGGGAAAGCTAGGGTTAACATGTACTGACAGAGTTGGGAATTTTTACAGTCGTCCAACTATAAATACCGATTTAAGGTGACTTTCTTTTGATAAATTTTAACCCCAAAGAATTCCTCGCCCGTCTCCATTTCATCCAAGACTTGAACTGTGTCTATTCCTCATCCACTTAAATTTTTCTGATACATAAAAATGTTTCAGAGACCCACTTTCTTGTAAAAAAATGTTTGTAGAAGTGCAGGTTCACTCGGTAAAACACTTTCTGTGTTAAGTCCCCAGGCAAAGCACTTAATCCCAGCTGCCTTTTTACACTCTGTAGTTAAAGCAGCCAACGGGACACACTTAAGATAACCTCTGATGGACTTGAATCTAATGGAGGAGCCAGATTCAATTACTTAATGCCATGGCAACCAGGAGCAAAGAGTTAGCTCAGACCATAGAGAATGGACACAGGTGCTCAGATATATGGCTTCGGGCACAGTTTACATGAATTTCTTTAAGAGTCCAAGAAATAACTATGGTAACATTTCATAACTGAATGTTTTAGTATAGACCTTTAGCGTGGCTGCCATCTTAGAGATGTAGTGCTGTTATATCACGGACATTTTCGTTCATTCACTGCGAGTGTGACTACTTATGGGTGCGTTTGATTAGCTGTTGCCACGGGTCAGCCCTGTGCCGTTAAATTAGCTCCGACGTCATTCTCCGGGCTCACCCGGGTCAGCCACCACAGACCCTGTTCGTGGAGCAGAGTCAGTGGTGGCAATACATCATACACACGTGTTGTTCATTTCTAGAAACGGACAGGGGAAATCTCAAGTGGACGTAAAAATTAGCTTTATTTGAAGTCTAAAGGTAATCATTCATTGAGTTCATTGTGTTTTTGAGGCTATAATTCCAGCCCAACTTTTTTTGAATTTTGCAATCGACTGAAAAGCAGTAAATCTCAAACTAAAACACAATCCGAAACGGGCGTTTTGTCAGTGGCTACGGCCGTTTCTACGAATACCACGTGAGGATCATGATGGCCCGCGGTTGAGCGTTCGATTAGCCCGGCTGTTGTTGCTAACCCGTCTGCCTTTACCCCAGTCAATCCGGGTGAGCTACTCGAACGCACCCTATGATATTAACAAGAAACCTCTATGAAGTATGATGGCTGGTCTCGGCAAAGAGTCTACATTATATACAATATAGGCAATGCGTTAAATTTCTATCGTGCAACATGCGACTGGGGTTTGCCTTCAATGAAGAAATACAGTAGTATATAGCGAACGTAAACGTTTGCTGTTTTTGAAGTGTTTTCTGTTTTGCACTTAAGTTGTTTAATGCATACATGTACATGTACAGTACGTATATTAATTAACCAGGTACAAGTCTGTATTAAAAAGGTTACATTCTAATTACAGTAAACTCCGGCTAAACTGACATTGTACAACGCTTCAAATCGCTAAAGTCGGCTGTCTGACTTAAGTCCCGATTGTCCGTAATGCATTTCCATTGAATTTTTTATTTCTAAGTCGGCTTTTATAAGTCGCCATTTCGCTCAAGTCGTCGTGGGGTTTGCCTTCAATGAAGAAAAGCATTACAAAATCCTTTGTGTAAGTCCGCATTCAACAAATCACGCATTGTCATCGACTTCCTGCACTGCGGTTGGCAAAGTGTCGAGTGGAAAGTGGTTTCGCACAGCCCATGATCGCTGTGTGCATCGGTGTCGAAAAAGGGTGTCCTACTGCATACATCGCATATGCATCGTGAGCATATCAATACCAGTACCCCCTCTAGGCTGTACGCATGCGCGCTGTCCATTTAGGGGGGTCGTCTTATTGAATGACTGGTGCTGTGCTGCAGTCAATGCGTGCGTACCGGACCACGCACACATTTAATTTGTTACTGTGCACGTACATATGTATCGTGGTCTCCACTATCAATACCCCAAACGTGATGATACAATTCGAGGATTAATTTGCTGGATTCAACTCAAGCATTAAGGAGATAATCCAGGGTAAATCGAAGCCAATTAGTGCAATGAATCATGTGTGCAAAGACCATTCATGTAAGTCGGCAAAATGATGACTTACAGCAGATATCGGCATTCGCGTTAAGTCGTCACCAATTCTCGGGTCCAGAGAGTGCCGACCTAGCCGGAGTTTACTTGTAGTGTAAAACGATGAACACTACACAAATTACATGTTGTGGGGTTCCCTTTTTCGAAGAAGTGATGGAAATGAATTAAAACACTGCTGTTCTTTCTGGAATGCATTAGGCAAGGAATGAAGTTTTGTTTAATGTTATTGAGGATGTTACATGGCGAGGCGTGGCAGATCTGAACATGCAGAGCTTAAACGAACATACCTCTTAAATTCTGCGCATCCTATTGGTCACGCTGCGAACCAGGGTTGGGGAAACGCTAAAGGAAAGTTGAAACAATCTCCATGGTAACCAAGATGGTCCAAGCTTGCATCCTTGAGTAAAACTGAGGAACAGTTTGTTGTAGCACGTCATCACGTCAGGGTCTTCTTAGAAAAGTTAACAGCTTTGGATCGCAGGACGAGTTCCAGGTGATTTTAATTTGGTGAGTTGATCTTGCATCACGATGATAATAAGAAGGTTCTCCAAATTTTGCGCAAAATCTCTGGGCGTGAAGCACGCGTTGCAGCATCAGACATCACTGAGAAAAAGCATCTTTCGAATTTTTAATACTGAGTATAATAACAATACAACAGAGGATCGGTGTCACTACGGATTCTGTTCCCACACAAAACGCAGTCAGGGGGCAGGATTTTTCCAAGAGACGTGCTGGTGTTCTTAATGTGAAATCCTCACGGGGATCACATAAATCCTTGTAGAATGAAGCACACAGGTAAACCACACAAAAAAATGGCGTGCATTTCATGTAGACTCTTTTCCAGGCGCACCTTGACAGAATGCAGCACCACCTCGTAGAGGAGTCTACAAAGGACCATCACACAGTAGACTGACCACTGAAAGTGTTAATCATGCTTGTCAGCAAGTTTACTCTAACAGCAGTTTGAAACTTTGAATTCCGGCAAAAATTTAGCGGGCCTGACGTTACGATCGTAGCTTAATCTTTATCCTCACGTGGAGTGCTGTTAAACATCTCAGCAAAACATATTTTAAACTACTCGACATATCCAGTTAACATGTTCTCAGAAAGAAATAATGTGCAGCTGACAGTTTAAATCTGATCACATCTTCATCATGCATTGTATCATCTTCGGAAGTTAAATGTTTTTAGCTGTAGACTTTGGCAAGACTGGTTCTCCTTGTTGATCTGAGCCGGGAGGGAGCAGGTATCACCTAAACTTGGTCGCAATGAGGATGATGATGAGAACGATGAGGATGACCGATAAGATCATGATGATCAACATCTTCCGATTCTTCTTTTGGTACTTCTCGGCCTGAAATACGGAGATAAAGAAAAGAAGTGGAGACAGTTTTGGCACAGTGGTACTTTCCTCACCTTCCACCTCTGTGACCCGGGTTAGATCTTTTCCTAGACAGACATGTGGCTTAGATTTTCGGCCCCTATCTTATAAAATGTGTTTCTAGTTTTTAATGACTTTAACCTTCACATTTTTTTTTTCTTTGTCAATTCTCAACGGGTCTCTTCTGGTTTGTGAGCAACACAGTGCCTTGGCGCTTTTAACAAATCCTGAAAAAACAACTGGAGACTTTGGTCTTTTAAGTGAATGATTAAATCATTTTAACACAGCGTCTTCATCAACCTGCAACAGGGGTTCAATTCCCCAAGTAACATATGGATTAGATTGATGTGGATTGGATCCCTACATGTTCCTGATTCCACTGGTTTCTCTTGAACATTTTTCTTTGGTTTTTCTTCCACCTCTCAAACTGTAAAAATGTGTCCATTTGTCTATAAGTTTTGTCAGGTCTCTGAGCTACAGTGCAATGTTGAGGCATTTGGTATCATTTAAAATAAAGAATTCAACAACAATAATTATTCAAATTAGGTTTTTGCCCTGCACCGACGTTTAAACACTGTATACTCAGTGTGTTACCTCCCGAGTGAAAGTTGGAAAAAATCACTCGGGTGGGACTCGAACCCACGACCTCCTGCTTTCTAGTGCAGATGTCTTACCACTCGACCACTGAGCTAACTGGATCGGTTGGCTGGTTCGAATCTGATGTACATAGCAGCAGGTACCGCGTAAACAATTATAAGATGGAATTTTGCGTCGGGGTGATATAAATCAAATTAGGTTTTTGCCCTGCACTGACGTTTAAACACTGTATACTCAGTGTGTTACCTCCCGAGTGGAAGTTTGAAAAAATCACTCGGTGGGACTCGAACCCACGACCTCCTGCTCCTCCTTTTTTCCCATCTTTCACTCGGGAGGTAACACACTGAGTATACAGTGTTTAAACGTCGGTGTAGGGCAAAAACCTAATTTGATTTATATCACCCCGACGCAAAATTCAATCTTATAACAATAATTATTACAACGATCTCCACAGTTAACAAAACCACTTCTAAATTTTTCAAATGAACCACACAGGGGAAATGACTTGGTGAACTATAACAATTGAAAAGTTGAACAAAGAAATTGACTGGAGCGGGGCTTGAACCTGCGAGTTCCCAATAACCGTTCCGGTGCTGTACCAACTGAGCTATCCAGCCCTATGTTGTCGGTTCCCCAATTAGTCCACATCTTTGTTCGAGGGGCGCTAGTCAGAAGCCATAAAGCAGTACACCATACAGCCAGGGATCAAGCCCAAAGTCACGATACAAACCTGGGAAATGGCAAAAGGGGCGTGATCCCTGGCTGTATGGTATACTGGCTGTATGAATCCCTGGCTAAATGGTATACTGGCTTATGGCTTCTGACAGCCCCCCTCGAACAAAGATATTGACTAATTGGGGGACCGCCAACATAGGGCTGGATAGCTCAGTTGGTAGAGCACCAGAACGGTAATCCGAGGGCGTTTTCGAATCCCTGTTCTTGACAACACTTGGGTTAACCCGACACGAGAACAGCGGTCTCGAACGTGACGAACAGACCCGAGAGGGCGTTCGCAGATCAATTTTTTCAGTCCCCGGTTGATGGAGGGTTCGGCGAGGTGCAGCTTGAACAAAATGGCGGACTGTGCAGATTCGTTTTTTTTTTTTTTTTGCTATAAATACCCTAATGATTGGAATAAGAATACCATTATAGTGCAGGTCTGCAATTTCATCCCAGCATTTCCGGTTTTGCAACAGTCGTCCTCGTTCATTTGGAATAGGCCTAAGTACAATTCAGACGATTGTCGGCCATTTTGCATTGCTTTATATCGATGCGACACGCACCCGCGCGTTCGTAACAACCAGCTCGAGAACACGTTCTCGTGTTACACGCGTGTTGTCAAGAACAGGGATTCGAAAACGCCCCAGAGGTCGCAGGTTCAAGCCCCGCTCCAGTCAATTTCTTTGTTCAACTTTTCAAAACCACTTCTAGTTCAACCACTGCTGAAGTTGGAGTGAGCATGGGTGATGTTTTCAATGACTTCATAACTGTAGTACCCAGAGCCGTGCAGCCGGTATATCCTACCTTTTGGAGTTGTTTTAAACCTTGCTCAACTTTGGTAGCTGTCTTCTCAATGTTGTAATCTATTCTATCTAGTACTGTGCCCTGGTCAAAACAACAAAAGAAAAATCAAGGTTTGTTTTCTGTCTCTGTACAATCACATATCAGTGAAACGGAAAAACATTTAATATCCCTGTTCAACAATGACCTCAAGCAAGTTACAGTCAAACACCAGTCAGTTAGGAACAGCATGCCTGCAATTATGTCAATGTACATACACTCAATATTTAACAACTGTTCACTGCTGTGATATTTTTTACAACCGAGGGAAACATGGCGCCTGAATCGGACCAGTGCCAACCCTCTTAAGACATACCTTGCCATTATGGTTTGTTGTAAAAGGACCAGTACTGACCTGACTCTGGCTCTGTACCGTCTTGCCGTTATGATTTGTTGTAAGAGGACAAGCACTGGTCCGATTCAGGCTCTGTAAAGTCTTGCCTATATGATTTGTTGTAAAAGGACCAGCACTGGCGCGATTCAGGCTCTCTGCAGTCTAGCCGTTATCGTTTGTTGTAAAAGGACCAGCACTGGCCCGATGCAGGCTCTGTACTGTCTTGCCTTTATGATTTGTTGTAAGAGGACAAGCACTGGTCCGATTCAGGCTCTGTACTGTCTTGCCTTTATGATTTGTTGTAAGAGGACAAGCACTGGTCCGATTCAGGCTCTGTACTGTCTTGCCTTTATGATTTGTTGTAAGAGGACAAGCACTGGCCCGATTCAGGCTCTGTACTGTCTTGCCTTTATGGTTTGTTGTAAGAGGACAAGCACTGGCCCGATTCAGGCTCTGTACTGTCTTGCCTTTATGGTTTGTTGTAAGAGGACAAGCACTGGCCCGATTCAGGCTCTGTACTGTCTTGCCTTTATGATTTGTTGTAAGAGGACAAGCACTGGTCCGATTCAGGCTCTGTACTGTCTTGCCTTTATGATTTGTTGTAAAAGGACCAGCACTGGCCCGATTCAGGCTCTGTACTGTCTTGCCTTTATGATTTGTTGTAAGAGGACCAGCACTGGCCCGATTCAGGCTCTGTACTGTCTTGCCTTTATGATTTGTTGTAAGAGGACCAGCACTGGCCCGATTCAGGCTCTGTACTGTCTTGCCTTTATGATTTGTTGTAAGAGGACCAGCACTGGCCTGATTCAGGCTCTCTGCAGTCTAGCCGTTATCGTTTGTTGTAAGAGGACCAGCACTGGCCCGATTCAGGCTCTGTACTGTCTTGCCTTTATGCTTTGTTGTAAGAGGACCAGCACTGGCCTGATTCAGGCTCTCTGCAGTCTAGCCGTTATCGTTTGTTGTAAGAGGACCAGCACTGGCCCGATTCAGGCTCTGTACTGTCTTGCCTTTATGATTTGTTGTAAGAGGACCAGCACTGGCCCGATTCAGGCTCTCTGCAGTCTAGCCGTTATAGTTTGTCGTAAGAGGGCAGGCACTGGCTTAAAGGGAATATACATCATTTGCTTTTGCTGTAATTTTCAGAAATGGATGGAATTGGGGGGTTGGAAATATATAGCAAATATAGTTACACTGACTTTTTGAGGTTTTGGGTTCGAAAATGCTATAAAAACCAAGAAAAACAATCATTTTCCTGTAGTCTGGTTCCCTGACTCCATATAAGAAGAAACAGAGCAGTTTACATACATTGGGGAATTGTAAGGTCAGGGAACCAGTCTAGCTGGCTTGTCACCCGTTCATAGGTGTGTAATCGATTGCAAACAAGTGCGATGGTCAATTGGGGCCAGTATTTGAAGAAAAAAACAGTTTTTTTCCAACACTGATCGGCCGATCAGCGTTGGAAATTGATACAAAAATAGCACTTTTCTTGAAAATGACAGTATACCAGGTGCCATGATTTTACAGGATGCTTTACACTGTCATTCACTAACAGTCCAGCAAGGTATTTCAAAATGATTTGGTAGTTTTATTTTTTGATGTTTGCAAATGTTGTATTTTCCCTTTAACTCAGCCTCTGTACCGTCTTGCCGTTATGGTTTGTCGTAAGAGGGCCGGCACTTGCCCGATTCAGGCTCTGTACTGTCTTGCCGTTAATTATGGCTTGTCGTAAGAGGGTTGGCACTTGCCCGATTCAGGCTCTGTACCGTCTTGCCATTATGGCTTGTTGTAAGAGGGCCGGCACTTGTCCGATTCAGGCTCTGTACTGTCTTGCCGTTATGGTTTGTTGTAAGAGGGCCGGCACTTGTCCTGTACCGACGTGCCGTTATGGTTTGTTGAAAGACGGCTGGCACTGGCCCGATTCAGCGATTCAGGCGCTGTACCGACATGCCACTATGGTTTGTTGTAAGAGGGCTGGCACTTGCCCGATTCAGGCTCTGTACCGTCTTGCCGTTATGGTTTGTCGTAAGAGGGCCGGCACTTGCCCTGTACTGACGTGCTGTTATGGTTTGTTGAAAGACGGCTGGCACTGGCCCGATTCAGCGATTCAGGCGCTGTACCGACATGCCACTATGGTTTGTTGTAAGAGGGCCGGCACTTGCCCGATTCAGGCCCTGTACAGTCTTGCCATTATGGTTTGTCGTAAGAGGGCCAGCACTGGCCAGACTCCGGCTCTGTACCGTCTTGCCATTATGGTTTGTCGTAAGAGGGCCGGCACTTGCCCTGTACCGACGTGCCATTATGGTTTGTTGTAAGAGGGCCGGCACTTGCCCTGTACCGACATGCCACTATGGTTTGTTGTAAGAGGGTCGGCACTTGCCCGATTCAGGCTCTGTACCGTCTTGCCATTATGGCTTGTTGTAAGAGGGCCGGCACTTGTCCGATTCAGGCTCTGTACTGTCTTGCCGTTATGGTTTGTTGTAAGAGGGCCGGCACTTGTCCTGTACCGACGTGCCGTTATGGTTTGTTGAAAGACGGCTGGCACTGGCCCGATTCAGCGATTCAGGCGCTGTACCGACATGCCACTATGGTTTGTTGTAAGAGGGCTGGCACTTGCCCGATTCAGGCTCTGTACCGTCTTGCCGTTATGGTTTGTCGTAAGAGGGCCGGCACTTGCCCTGTACTGACGTGCTGTTATGGTTTGTTGAAAGACGGCTGGCACTGGCCCGATTCAGCGATTCAGGCGCTGTACCGACATGCCACTATGGTTTGTTGTAAGAGGGCCGGCACTTGCCCGATTCAGGCCCTGTACAGTCTTGCCATTATGGTTTGTCGTAAGAGGGCCAGCACTGGCCAGACTCCGGCTCTGTACCGTCTTGCCATTATGGTTTGTCGTAAGAGGGCCGGCACTTGCCCTGTACCGACGTGCCATTATGGTTTGTTGTAAGAGGGCCGGCACTTGCCCTGTACCGACATGCCACTATGGTTTGTTGTAAGAGGGTCGGCACTTGCCCGATTCAGGCTCTGTACCGTCTTGCCATTATGGTTTGTCGTAAGAGGGCCGGCACTTGCCCTGTACCGACGTGCCGTTATGGTTTGTTGAAAGATGGCTGGCACTGGCCCGATTCAGCGATTCAGGCACTGTACCGACATGCCACTATGGTTTGTTGTAAGAGGGCCGGCACTGGCCCGATTCAGGCTCTGTACCGTCTTGCCGTTATGGCTTGTCCTAAGAGGGCCGACACTTGCCCTGTACCAACGTGCCGTTATGGTTTGTTGAAAGACGGCTGGCACTGGCCCGATTCAGCGATTCAGGCGCTGTACCGACATGCCACTACGGTTTGTTGTAAGAGGGCCGGCACTGGCCCGATTCAGGCTCTGTATCGTCTTGCCGTTATGGTTTGTCGTAAGAGGGCCAGCACTGGCAAGACTCGGGCTCTGTACCGTCTTGCCATTATGGTTTGTCGTAAAAGGGCCAGCACTGGCCTGATTCAGGCTGTGTGCCCTATTGCCGTTATTGTTTGCCGTAAAAGGACCAGCACTGACGGGGGTGTCATGCATCCTTAAGAATGTAAACACCATGTCCCAGATCACAGCAATCAACAATTGTTTTGTTCTTTCATGCCGCCAAGCCAGACAGAGTCATAGAGCTATATTAAATTACTAGAGCGCTAACTTCGTGTACAAAGCCTGCTGGGCGCATCCATGTTTGTGCACAAACCTATGGAGACCTAGAAATTTTGTACGGCTATTTGCATATCTGCGTTTGTATTCCATACCGGTGCGTTATCGAAGCCAATACGCCCAAACCCGAAACGCACGATCAGCAAATGAGCGTGTCATTTTGCTCTACGCAAACAGCGCAACGCGTGCGCGTATTCGCTGCAGATGCTTTTTGCCGTCATGTTTTTTTGAACCGCCAATGACGCGCTTAAGTTGTTTGCTTGTGTTCTACTTGCGCGTTGCATGTACACTTTCAAAATTCAATCCATCTAATTTCATTATGTTCTACAAACACGCACATGAATTCAAAATGTCTGCGCCCAGGACGGCTTCAAAGCGTCTCTGCGCGCAAGAATGAGGAGTTAGCGCTCTAGTAATTTAATATAGCTCTATGGACAGAGTCTAGTTGTGACTCATCCACAAAAGTCAAATTTTACGATTAAATCATCTGCTTACCTGCTCTACCACCATAGAGGCTAGGTCTCTAAAGATCTCATTCAAGTCTACGATGGACTGTACAATGTGCGTGATTTCCTTTTCCCTCTGTTGGACAAATGCCGAGTTCTCCTCGACCATCTGCATTTGTACATCGGTGAATCCCTGTGTAACACAATAAAAAACATTAGGCAGTTAAACACCTTTAGTTTCCAGACAGATTGTCTCTTTGGAAAAATACCTCCACAACGCTGAAAAAAACCAAGAGAGAGGCAAAAACAAATGTTGTGTCACAATTGACCTATCGCCGTTTGCAAGTTAGCCACGTCCCTTAGACGACCCTAGGGAGTTTTGAACACTAAAGTTGGTTCCGCGTCCATTTGTATATCATGTAATTTGAAAATATTTCACAAGCTGCGTTGGCACGATTCTCAGGCGATTCTACCGCGATAGGTCAATAGGTGGGGGCAGGCTGATGTCATTCGATGAAAACATCTATTCATTTGCACACCAGTTTTCATCGGTTGCTATGTGTTACCATTCAGCACTCCAGACTCAAGCACCATTGAGTTTCAAGAACATAGGTCTGGGAGCTAGATAAGCCAATGTAAAAAAATCCGGATGTCCGCACCCAACTATAGACACGATTTAATGTTCTGCACAAACCCCTCCTCTGCAGTCTGGTTCCCACCTCCATCAATTCAGTCTGTATTTACAGACTGAATGATAATAGAATGGCAGGGAACTAGTCTAGTTGCCTCATCTGCAACCTCGTTCCCATGGGTACGAGATCTTGCTGCGCCATGTTGTTTCCCATCATGCCTTGCGGGATCTCAACCCCGTGAATTGTGTAATTTAAATGTGTCAAAATATGGCACATTATAATTAGGCTGCAGTTTATCCGTTTTACGCGCCGACGCCATCTTTAAAATGTTGAAAGTTGTGTTTTTGAAGAATCAATGCTTTCAAACATAAGGTTTGGACGTTGCGTTATTTAGCAAAGATTTGTATTAAAGGTACGTACCCCTTTCGTCCCTTTACAACTGCAGATACAGGGTGTTTTTTTAGCGAAAAACGAGGCTGCCATAATCCATATCATACAGGCATCGCGCAGTTTTGAATATTCGTACGTGACGTGATGTGCAAAGCACCCGAGCGCATTATGGGCGCGCCCGGTGTGCAATCTTTGAAATGCCCGCGCAGTACGCTCTGAATAGCCAGTCAGCATCGTTTACGTGTACATCACGGCCAGGGGTTAGTGAAGGAACGTGCACGCGCCCATGGAGTCGAGGCTGCCTCATCTGGTAAATTATTTGAACAAGGAGTGTAACCTGGCAAAGTGCCAATATCAAGTGCTAAAGGTTCACACAGGATATCATTGGTAGGTGTCAAAGTGCCCTCTCTTGTCAAACACAGAGTCTACACAATATATTTCTGTAAGGCAATATAAGCCGTGTCCAAATTACTTGGCTACGGCTTGAAATTACACACGAGTCAATGGGAAGTGGCTGCAGCCGCTACCATAGACTCGTGTGTAAATTCAAGCCGCAGCCAAAATATTTTGGACATGGCCTAACCCATATCATGGAGGTTTGCAAAAAACTGGCTTTGTTCCAACTTCGGCTTCATCGCTGGCTTCAGGATCATTTAGAAGCTCTTAATGTCCAAACCAAATACTCAGAAACGCAGGCCTCATATTACAGAATTCAATATTCCTGAAGCACACTGTTGATCCACACTGCGCCAGAGTTGCCCCAGTCAGGGGATTAACTTTCCCGAGGCCAAAGCTGGAATTGTGCCTCGGTTTAAAAAACAGCAAACTCACCCTATCATACAACAGATCGTCCTCCATGATGTCCTCTTCTGTCATGATTGCACTGCCAGGAGAAAGGTTGGTGTCGAAGAAATGTTTGGATCGCTCCTCTCTACTCTTCATTCCTGCAAATAAACACCATAAAACAAGGTTAAAGGGAATGTACACGTACATAATTTGTTTTTACTGTAATTTCCAGAAATGAACTATTTGAGGGGTTATAATAGATCAAATATTAACTATGACACTGACATGTTTGAAGTTTTGTGTTCGAAAATGCTAGAAAAACAAAGAAAACACAAGTTTTCAAGTAGTCTGGTTCCCTGACTCCACAAAAAGATGAAATGGATCAATTTATAGATGCCGGAAAATTGTAAGGTAAGGGAACCAGTCTAGCTGGCCTGCAACTGTTCATGAACATGTAACCAATAGCAAACCAAATTTGGAATGAAAAAAATATGGTAAATTTGAAGCAGAAGTTGAACAATAGTTAGCAGGGGTGTGAGTGACCACTGAAAAAAATAGCTGAAAACGGCTGAAAAAAAGGTGTAAAAAAGCTGAACTTTTGAAATCTCTTATACTTTTGTACACAGCAAGTGAGAGAAAAAGCTGAAAAAATGCTGAAATCCAACACACAAAAAAGCTGAAATCAGCTTTAAAGCTGAAATTTCACACCCCTGAGTTAGGCTTTTCCAACGGTGGTCGGCCGACCATCGTTGGTAATTGATACAAAAATACCACTTTTCTTGAAAATGATTTCACACCATGTGCCATAATTTTACAGGATGCTTTAGACTGTCATTTACCAACATTCTAGTAAGGTATTTTATACAAATTTGGTAGTTTTGTTTTTTGATGTTTGCAAATGTTGTATATTCCCTTTAAAGTTTTATTTTTGGAGCTACATCATCAATTCTGAGATACTTCAACTCTTACTACACGACAGGTTCTTATAGACCAATCCAGGTTGCCATCTTTTTGTGATTACTGGCTTTCCACCATTACTGGGACTCTCCAACGAGTATAAATGGGCACCGGTGTCATATGAAAATCTGAATCCTATGAAAATCTGACTCCTTTTTCCTATTATTAATCCCTCGCACATGACAGGTCACTCTCCTATAAATAGGCCTAATAATAGGCTATTATCAGCTTACGCATGCGCAATACTACCAACAAGTCCATATTTCATGGAGTTGGATATTCACGCTACACCGGCATTAGCTGGTGAGTAACCTGTGATGGACTAGCATCCAGTCCAGGGGGAATAGAAATATTCTTAGTCGTTTCATTCGTTTTAACCAAAGATAGATGCCGGCCTGATAGGCCACGCTGGCCCTTGCCAGACATAACTTCTACCACTACATTGACAAACAGAAGCAGAACCAGTATTTGAAACAAAGAAAGTACAACCGAAACGGCACTCACGTTTTAGATAACTAGACTGTGATTTCCTAAAGTTGATGGAGAGTTCTTGTAGCCTGCCAGCTAACGATCCCATGATGTTCTTTGTGACTTTCTGCTCCTGACCCGACGCTGATCTGCTCTTGCCGCCGATGGCTTGAATAGCCCTTTGACACCTGTGGAACATCTGTGGACAGGACAAAGGATCGATTTAAAGGTCATGCGCAACATTTGCAAACATTTAAAAATGAAACTACCAATTATTATGAAATACCTTACTTGATTGTAAGTAAACAATAGTCCCAAGCATCCAGTGAAATCGTTGCACCCGGTATGTTGTCATTTTCAAGAAAAGTAGATTTTTTTAAAATTATTTTCCAACAATGGTCCGGCTGAACCATCATTGGACAAATATATGTGTTTTACCTGTGTGATTTCTTGAGTGGCAATTTCAATAGCATGTTCTTCCTCCATACTGTCATCTAACGTTGGTCTGGTTAGATGCTTGTCATGCAAGGCGGCTAGTTCCTTTACTGAAAACAAGAAAAATGGGGGAAAAAAATAACCTATTAATACATGTGAACCTTTGGTCGAATCCCACTCATCCTAAAGATATCCTGAAGTGAATAATAATGATCTACAGACTCTGTGCATGAACAGTATTGATGAGTAACTACTCACGGAAAACAGTCTGCATTACAAGGACTGTTTTGTGGGGAAGTTTCTTAAAGGGAATATACATCATTTGCTTTTACTGTAATTTTTTTCAGAAATGGATGGAATTGGGGGTTGGAAATATATAGCAAATATAGTTACACTGACTTTTTTGAGGTTTTGGGTTCGAAAATGCTATAAAACCAAGAAAAACAATCATTTTCCTGTAGTCTGGTTCCCTGACTCCATATAAGAAGAAACAAAGCAGTTAACATACATTGGGGAATTGTAAGGTCACGGAACCAGTCTAGCTGGCTTGTACCCGTTCATAGGTGTGTAATCGATTGCAAACAAGTACGATGGTCAATTGGGGCCAGTATTTGAAAAAAAGCCAATTTTTTCCAACGCTGGTCGGCCGACCAGCGTTGGAAATTGATACAAAAATACCACTTGTCTTGAAAATGACAGTATACCAGGTGCCATGATTTTACAGGATGCTTTACACTGTCATTCACTAACAGTCCAGCAAGGTATTTCAAAATGATTTGGTAGTTTTATTTTTTGATGTTTGCAAATGTTGTATTTTCCCTTTAATGTTTAGGAAACTTTTGTCCGAGTTGTGGACATTGCCACTGTCACTATTGCCTTGAATGCAAGGCTGTGTATGTGCTGTATCAGCTTGCGGGCATCTCTGGCCATAGCTTAACGGGCTCCATGTCCGCACACACGGCCAACCCGAATCCGTTGTACAAACAAAGCCCACAATGCATTCACACGCGCAGTACTGCCCCATATGGAGCCACAGCCTGTCTCCCCCAACAGCCTTGATTCGACTGTAACTTACTGGTTTTGCTGTTAGGTTAATGAGAATGAGCTGCTTGTGATCGAACAGGATCTGATTGGCCCTTGATTGGATATGCCGCGCTGTTTAAAAACATGGCCTGGGCCACGTCACGCGCGCACCGACGTTGGGTTTCCAAACCAACAATTATTGATCTGTGACGTGATTGGCCGTTGAGAAACGTACATTATTCATACCTGGATAATTTGCATACCCACTCACCCCTCCCCCCTAATTTTCATGAATTTCCGACGTAAAGTCAAGAAAAACATAAAACCTTCAGGTACTGAATAAGGCCAAAAAAAATAAGTCTCCGTTTTCTGGTATGCGCGCGCGTCGCCGTAGCCATGCGCGTCGGCAAAATGAAAAATTTTTTTTTTTCAATGAAAGATGATGTCTCAAAACCGCCAAACTCACTGATTTGACTGGAATCCTGCTGCTGCACAATTTTAACGTGTTTTTAGATTGGGTTATGGTCGAGAATAAACTTTATATGGCCTCTCTGGACTCCCATATATTTGCACTAAGTTTAGTCGGGCACCATTTGCAGTCATCAGCCGACATTTGAAGCAAAAAAATCAGGTAAAAAAAAAAAAAAAGCCGCGTCGCCGCACCACTTTTTGGGCAAGCTCCATACCAGAAACCGGAGACTTTTTTTTTTTGGCCCAAGCAAGGCTGTGATCCGAGGTGACTCGCACATGTACATGTACACCCAAGTTTGCACAGGCTGGGACTCTCACTATGGGGGCAGTGCATGTGCATGTACAGTACAGTCGACAGTGTATACATGTACCTACAATATGCACTGCAGGCTTTGTGCGTGCGATGGATCGGGGTTTCGCCGTGAATATGGAGTCGGCCGGGTAATAAGCTAGCTATGGCATTCGGTGCGCGCACCATGATACAGCTCATCTACAGCATTGCATTCAGGGCAACTGTCCCTACTGCATCTTTGGTCCCCACACTAACTATCACTTATTAGGTGTGTGGTCCCCACAAATACGGAACGAGCATCGGTGTGTAGATACAACATGCACAGACTAGTTCAGTGATTGGGTCCCCTTGTTACTTACTCTTCTGTTGTATTCTTGTTGTATCGTAAGAGATTTCTTCAACAGCATCAACCCTAAAACAGTGGGATAGAAAGGCAAAGGGAACTTTTAAAAAGGTCATCCTTCCAAGCTGTCTGCAAAAAATGCTTATGCTGAATCGTCACCGTTTTCACGAAGGGGCGAATTTCATGAAAATCGTCTGTTTTTCAAAATTTGTTTTTTGTGTGAAAATTAATAAAGATATCAATATCTAGAACCTGGTGAGGCTATACTTTCAAAAAATTAATTAAAATCTTAATTAACCTAATTAACGGATGGGCGAATTTGCCAAAAGTGCCGTTTTGCATTTTCACGAAGGGGCGAATTTCCGCACTCTAAGGTATTAATAAATTTTCAGTAAATAAATACATTGTAATACAATATATCACGAAACGGCGAATTCCATGCGCGTGCAATAAAACGTTTTCACGAAGGGGCGAATTTCAAGGCGCATGCGCAGTGGGGCAGAATCTGCGCGTACTGTACAAAAAATGCATTGACTCAGACCGCAGAAGGGCGAAATCTGCGCGTAGTCACTTTAGCGTTTTCACGAAGGGGCAAATTTGCTAACTGGTCTTTTTTTTCGTTTTCACGAACAGCCACTTCTCTTAAATGATTAATTCTGCAAAACTAATCACTTATTTTTCTTAAAGTTTGCTACATTTAGGAAGATTAGAAGCTCTTCTTTCCTCTGATACCAAAATCTTGCATATTTTATGCATCTTTAAGTTCAAATTGTCAAATGAAAAAGGACCAACTTTAAACGCGATTATCTCGAATGTTTGTTTAGACAGCGAAATACTAAATTCGCCTCTTCGTGAAAACGGTGACGGAATGGTGAAACTTAATCACCTGAATTTTACAAAAGATGATATATTTGGTGGGATTTTGATGGAAGTTAGTAAAGCGAGTTGGGTCTGCTTTTGTTGGGATTGGGGGGGGGGGCAATATATGGATCCTGCAGAAAACATATGGAGAGACAAAAAACAAAATTTAAACCATCCTTAAATTGACTTCAGAGGTGTATATTTCTATCAATGTAGAACACTTCCTGATATATACGATTCTTCACATGCGGTAACATTTAAAATACAATCGAACCGGTACAGTGCTTCAAGTTCTCAATTCCAGACAGGTTCCTGCCCCCTCCCTTGCCCCCTCCACTGTCCAGCGCACAAAGAAGGGACTGGGAACCAGCCTACTCAGCTGTATGGGTTTTACACCTACGAATGAACGAATAGCGCAGCCTATAATATGTTACTCGAACGTTCATCATGGGCGCATCAAACACACATGGAGATGGTTGTACGACACATGTTTTTCTTACGATCACAATGAGCATTTGCTCATTATTGAATATGGCATTTACAGGATGCAGCATTTTGTGGTCAGACACCCACAACGTAAAAGCATCTAGCTCGTTAGGTCTAGGTTTAATATATTTTAAGATGGCTATGGCGAGCCAAGTTGCTCTACTGCATAGCGCCCTCTATTGTCCACTGGATATTTACCATTCTGGCGGGATGGAGATCTTGGTAGCACCAATGACAGCATCCGGATCGCTGGAAAGGCCCGAGACTAAAGCCATCCGATCATCTGGAACCTACGAAAGTCAACAGGGAGAAAAAAAATCATTACAATACTGCCCACCGTATGTTTAAAATCAATAACAATTGCATCCTCAATGTACACATAAACGGAAGTTTGGTTAATCAGTAACTGAAATACATGTAGAGGAACAAGTGTGGGGTGGTTTTTTTTGGGGGGGGGGGTGGCAGTTGTAACGTTAGCAGCTGCCGCAAACATTGAATTTATTGATTGAAATAATAACATGAGCCAAAAGAAAATGCAGGAAGTGGGAATTTTAAGGAAAAGGAGGAATTTTTTTAAGAATCTCTGTGGGGGACGAAAATACACTTACAGGGTTTTATCAAAAAAAGGAAACCCAGGTGTAAATGTAAATTATATAAAATCTAATAAATATTTTCAAATAAGTTAACGATCATGTGAAACACCAATTTGTCCTCTTTCCAATGACACTTTGAATGTGTGTCTATGGCCACGGATGACCAAGCATTTGTTGTTATTGTGTCAAGGGTCAAAACCTGCACTGGGCCAAGTTTGAGCAAAAGGGTAACTGCTATTCTGGGCATGTGGAATGGCCTAATTCAAAGAAAGCAGACATCTTTTTTTTTCTTTAAAACAATTTGTTCAATTTTTACAGTGATTTAACCACTCTCATTGTTGAAGTTAACCCCTAATTGCCCAATGCCTTCAATGTGGCCTCCACCTCTTTCCACACAAAGCTCTCTGCACGAAGTCTAGTCCATTTCAACCTTTGCGTAACAAACCAGCCAGCAGTTTTAGCCAAGTCAAACTTGGACCAGTACAGGTTTTGACCCTTGACAGCATAACAACGAATCCTCAGGTCACCCATGGCCACAGACACACAATCAAGGTTTTATTGGAAAGAGGACACATTGACGTTTCATATTATCTTTATCTCATTTAAAAATATTTATTAGATTTTCTATAATTTACATTTACATCTGGGTTTCCTTTTGTTTTGATACACCCTGTATAATGTTGAGGTCAACATTTGCATTGTACGTTCAACGTTTACCCTCAACATTCTTCTAAAATGACACGTATAGGCCTACATCTTTTTTAATCGGATTTGACATACATATTCAACTCAAATCCCAAGGGGCATTTTCGAATAATTTAGTATGCGATTATTCCAACTTGGACTTGATTGAATATTTGAAATGCGCTGGCCAAGGTTTACTGGCCGACGTGTGGGATTTGCCTGCATCTGCGCTTGTCAAAAATTGACAAAGAGCTTATCAAATAAGGCCCAAAAAAATGGTTCTGCTTCCGATTACATGGCATTTAAAAATAGGGTAGGTAATTAGGGACTTTTTTTGGGGGGGGGGGCCAATTTTTGTGTGTACGATCATATGGAGGTGTTTGTGTGTAGTCAAGGGTAAAGGTACATGCAGTAATTGATGATTTAGGGGTATTTTCCCCAAAAACAAATTAGGGTAGGGGCTGTTAAAATAGGGTAGTAAAGCAGAACTATTAAAAAAAAAAATCGGCTAAATACAAAGAACATCATTTATGTATTTTTCGAGGTAGTGGAATTGCTGATATTTGACATATTTTAAATAAGAAATTTGAGCCAGTGTTTCTCACGGAAGCTTTGAAATCATGTGAGAAAAGTGGTTTTCTCCAAAAGTGTTGCATTTGAAAAAATATAAAAACATGCAACTAATATACGATTAAAATAATATTGTGGACACTTTTATCCATCTTCTTGAGACAAGTCGCATTTTGGAATATTTTAATTCAAAAACTGCTGTTCGTATATTTCAATATTCAGTACATATTTGGTACAGCCCTAGAGAGGCCCTTTTATCCCCAAAATATTTCAATGTGCAAGCACCCATGTTTTGTACTTTAACTTTCCAGGGAGAGCAGGTACCCCACGTATCAGTTTCCCATCCCCCCCCCCCCCCCCCCCCCCCCCCCCCCCTTCTTGCATTGCACCCAAGGAACATTTTGGGGTTTGGTCAGGTTTTTCATGTGGATTATGACTTTATTATTTTACACCATAGGTGGGGGTTGTGTCACTTCAAAACTGACAATCCCCACTTCTTGGGTGCGTCAGCCTGTTGGGGGGGGGGGGGGGTATAAAGGAGGTAGAAACAATTGATAGGCACATTACTTGCAAATGGTGCCAAGTACAAAAGACTTCGGAAAAAAAAATCCATACTGGAGTACCACTTTTTTTCAATTAATTTTCAAGCGCCAAAAAAGTTGCATCCTTTATGGTTATTGCCTCCACTTTCCCTCCTCTACTCTCATCTTCTCCTTTCCTTTATTCCTATTTATTAGTCAGTCACTTACTTCATCGAGATTCAAACCGCGGACACTTACTTGAAACACGAGACTCTTAACCGCTAGGCCGCGCATGATCGCTGTTGCAATAATCAATCTTTGGACATATTTGAAGTATCCATTGAAATAAACTAAATATTCATGAGAAAATGAATATTCATAATGACGTATTGCACTATCATTGGCCGGTTCATGCGTTGTCATGGTTGTCGATGTCATGCGTATAACGTAACGTACCGCTGTCTTCCAGACACTTCAATCAGTTTTGACCGGCTGCTTCAACTTAGTTCTGCACGACGTGTGCATCCAAAATGTGCTCTAAAAACATATTTTGCCTAATTTTTTTTCGCATTTACACAGCTTCCTGCAATCCTGGATTCTTCTTGGGTGAAATCACAAGCATGACAAGGTGAGGTGAAAATTGATGTGTTTGGTGGCAGGTAAAGTGGTGATCCAGTATGGATTTTTCCCCGCCCCTACAGGGAATAATGCCCCTATCAATTGTTTTCCGACATTGGACCTTTGGGCAGCGTGGGAGGGGGAGGAGGAGGGGGGAGGAAAATTGATAGGCGCATAACAAAAACACAGACAAGAAGACAAGATTTTAAGAAAGAGTATACACAGTAAGTCCACATGCTTGTCAAACACCACACAACACGCCACACGTCTAAGATAATACGAAAACAGTGCATGCGGCAGAAGCGAGTGTGGTGCTTGAGTAAAAGCACGGGACTTACCGTGCATTCGTCGGCGCATGCGGCCGTGTTGCCGCCGCTACATGACCCGCGGCCAACCCGGCCCGACCCCGCTTGATGAATACTCACATTCTCGGAAAAGATGTGCCGACTTTGGCTGGCATTGTTTCGCATCAAAATGAAGATTTCCGTCAAACTTCGCGTCGCCATTGTGACACAGGTTGTTCTCCTTTAAACTGAACGATGGCAACTGCCGATCTGTTGTGAAAATACCGATTTTTTTGAATGAAACTTTGATGCCAGCCGGTCAAAAATGGATGTTTTTGGTCGAAAATGTTTCTGCAGTGAATGTTGAGTCAGGAGCCGTCTTTCATAGGCAGGGACAGATACAATTTAAAGTCAGGGAACCAGTCCACGCGTCTCCGCATCACATTTTGATGAATAGACTTAAACCAGTCCTTTGTTTTCTGTAAATCAACTGTGCAGGTTTTAAATAAAAATGCCAGACAATCAAAAGTGATATTTAAGAGTTTTGTTTTTCATCCTGTAGATGGTGATTTTGGGTTTTGCTTTTTCACTGGTAGAATAGTGATAATGTTTTTGGTTTTACGAAATAGACAATATAATAGTGCAAAGAATATTATGCCTTTAATGCATGCGCCCAACGCAGTGAGGTGCAGTGCAGGGGGGGGGGGGCACCACCACCCCCAGATTTACCCAATTAAGTGCCCCTCTTGCGCACATAAATATGCCCCGTCGAGCATAAATGTGCCCAAAGGCTTGCGATGAAAACAAAATTAGCCCTAAAATTTCGGATAATTTGTTTGCAGTAACCATTTCCCAAATTGCTATATAGAGAGTTCTGATATGAACGAGGAATATGAAAACCAATCCCCGAAACCCTTATAACGAGACGGACCTGAAAATGGGCACATAATGCGTTTAGTTTGCAACTGCACCCTGTTGCCCGCCCCCCCCCCGGATCTGCCCTTGCACCAGAGAAACAATCGCTGGGCAATACTAGTCTTTTTATCCGTAATCAGATTGTGTTCATATATATATAAATGTTAGGAAATGTGCTAGCATTTTTTCATATAGTGTTTAGCGACTATTAGAATTACAGTTCACATTTAGCATCACCTTTTGCACTTATTTCTCAATTCACATTATAGGAAATCAACATAAATTATGTTGTTTTTGAAAATAGAACTGCTCACGTTAATTCTTCTCTAATATTATTAGAGAAGTTCTGTTTTCAAATTTATAACTAATATTTGGGATGAGATGAGTCGTATATCATATGTGTTTAAAGTGATTACAAAAACACTTAAGAACAAATTAAATAGTTTGTCTGGCTTGCATGGAGATATAGGACCGCTTTCATTATTGGAAATGCCTAAAAAATAATGGAGTTAGATAAATATCCATTTAACGACCTTTTTGTGGTTAATTATAAGATATTTTCGTTTATGAAACCTGAATGAACTGAAATGCTAGAGTAGAAGTTCCTTTAACATCACTTTTATTTGCACCGCCTTTTATCATTATCATACCAAATACAATATATACAAATTGCTTCAGAGAAAAAAGAAAACAAAGTAGTGAATTTCATCTCATAGAATATTAGTTATTACCCTTTGAAATGATCTAACATTTCTTCGTGCAGAAGATTGTCAACAAATAACATGAGATTCATGTTTCACAATTTGTATTGCCTTTCGCACCAACTTCAAACATTCCAATTTATAACATTTCAGGAAGAAATTGAACGTAGTGGAAGTAGCGTAGCCAGAATTGTTTTCAGTGGGGGGGGGGGGGGGGAGGGGGGGGCAGGACAGAGGGGTTACGAGCATATGAGGGGGCACCATCAACATGTTACCAAACTTTCCAGGCCACCACAAAAAAAGTGCTGCAAATTCGAAAGGGGGGGGGGGTCTGGACCTCTTTTGATGCTGAGGGCGCTCTTTTTCTTATCAAGTAATTCACATTTCATAAAGCCGTATGATTATTTTATATTTTTTAATTTTTTTTTTACATTTTATGTATTTAATTGTAATATCTTTGGGGGTTTTTTTGCTGCTGAGGAAGCGCATTAGATGATATGACGTCATCTCCGGCCGAATTTCGATTTACTCTTCTGATAATGACCTGAACTATCAGCACAAAAAAATATTTGAGGAATATATTAAAATTTTGTGTGATAACACACAGACTCGGTGTTAAATTTAGATCGATTTACCAATTATGTATTAAGTGCATATTCTTTTTGCACAAAAATGAAGCGGTAATTTTTTTTCTTGTAAACTTTAGAGAGAAAATTCGAAGTGTTGCACAAACAGTTCTTTTGTCATAAATGTTCTAATGTTCAAATCATTGTAAATCTGTATGAAGCAACAGTTTGATTTGATATTTTGGTCTTTTTTTCCAGCTCAATAATAAATATTCTTTTTGCACATTACAAGGGAAACATTAGTTCAGCGATGAAATTATGGAAAACATTTCAAGCACGTACTAAACTGTACATTATAAAGCACATGTGTTGTCTTGATTGCATTAATTTTTTTAAATCGGGAATGATCGCCCTGCCCCCCCCCCCCCCCACCCGTCTTTCCAAGGTGCCCCGCCCTTCTCCACTGACGCCACCAGTAGGTACTCGGTCTCCAAGGCCACCTCGCGCACTCTGATTGGTTGCTTGATGCTATTCATTCTGGTTGCGGGTAAAGCGATGCAAACTTGAGCAATATTTCTAGCGCAGTTTCTTTTCCTACAAAAACAAACAGGTTAGCTTTCTCAACATTGACCATGTACGACTGCTTTCTTTTTTTTCCTTCGAAAAAAAAATGAAAACGGCCATAATTTCTTCCACATCATTTATGGTCAGTTGCACGCCTAGACCGCGCAATTCTCTAACAATGAAATGACCTCATCGATACATTTTTTAATAACAATAAGACACGCGAGGTACCAACTCTGCCTCCGGTAATCGCGTCTCAAGGTGCCCGCGTATTCAACTGAATTGGTATACCGTGGATATTGGAGAAAATTGTGGCGATATCGATTACGTTCAAGGCGCACACTTACCCGAACCTGTTATTCAGTGCGGCGTTCTGATGAGATTCTCCATTTATATTTTAGTCGTCAGAGACGAAGCTATTGTCTAGTTTGACAGTCATTGTTCAAACGCAGCAGCGGATCGAGAGGGCAGATGTAATATAAGACACAGTCTCGAAACAAGCACTAGTTGATTATTGGACGACGATATTTAACGTCGTCTTGCAAAAGCTGAAAAATGACGCCTTTGATGGCATTTGCGATCGTTCTCGTCGGTGTTGGAGTAGATGCATTCTGTCCTGACTGGGAGTGGTTTAATGGTACAGGCTTCTGTCTGACAAACGAACTGATGGAGTGGGCAGAAGCTAAAATTGACTGCACTGGCACAGGAGGCGGTTTATGGGTCCCTGGTTCTGAGAGTGAGCAAGATTTCATCTATGACATGGTCAATGGAGAGGTTGGAGCCAATAACCATTTGTGGATCGACTGCTCCATGTCACCATCGGGCGAGTGGGTTCATTCTGATGGTACTCCGTGTGAGAACACTAATTGGTGTTATGGTTGTCCAAGAGGTTACAGCGAACATTGCTCGTGCTGGCGAATGTACGACCGCATGTGGGTTGATAACCCGTGTGGGAGTGTTTTTCACGCTCTTTGCGAATTCCATCAGTCGACGGCCAAGTCGATGCCGATTCTACTGTTAACCCAGCCCATACCCAGTCTACCGTCAACCCAGTCGACACCGAGTCTACTGTCAACCCAGTCGATACTGCGTCTACTGTCAACCCAGTCGATACCGAGTCTACCGTCAACTCAGTCGATACCGAGTCTACTGTAAACCCAGTCGACACCGAATCTACTGTCAACCCAGTCGACACCGAGTCTACTGTCAATCCATTCGACACCGAGTCTACTGTCAACCCAGCCCATACCCAGTCTACTGTCAACCCAGTCGATACTGAGTCTACCGTCGACCCAGTTGGTGTCAATAAGGTCGCTACCCCGTCGATGTTCTGCCTGGAGACCAACGCTGATGGCTGCCTCACATCCCAATGCCTGACCGGTCACGTCATCAAGGAGTTCTCCACCACCAAGGGTGTCATCGCGTGTGGTTCGGCGTGCCGGGATGAGCCTCGATGCCGCTCCTTTAATCTGCGACAGGTCAGCCGCGGAGAGAAGATATGTCAATTGAATGACATCACTCGCTATGAAGCGACCGAAAACGACATGGCATCTGACAAATATTGCTCTAATATCAACATCTAAATATTGCATTGTCTTAAGCACGGTTCATACTCGGCGCGAACGCGAATTCGTGACGTCATGGCAAGTATTCGCGCTGCGAATTCGTAAAAGTTGAACACATTTCGTCTCAAGGTGCCCGCGTATTCAACTAAATTGCTAGGTATACCGTGAATATTGGAGAAAATTGTGGCGATATCGATTACGTTCAAGGCGCACAATTACCCGAACCTGTTATTCAGTGCGGCGTTCTGATGAGATTTTCCATTTAAATTTTAGTCGTCAGAGACGAAGCTATGGTCTAGTTTGACAGTCATTGTTCAAACGCAGCAGCGGATCGAGAGGGCAGATGTAATATAAGACACAGTCTCGAAACAAGCACTAGTTGATTATTGACGACGATATTTAACGTCGTCTTACAAAAGCTGAAAAAAATGACGCCTTTGATGGCATTTGCGATCGTTCTTGTGGGTGTTGGAGTAGATGCATTCTGCCCTGACTGGGTGGGAGTGGTTTAATGGTACGGGATATTGCGTGACTTACGAAACAATGACATGGGCAAATGCTGAAACTACCTGCACTGGCACAGGAGGCGGTTTGTGGGCCCCTGCCTCTGAGAGAGTGAGCTAGATTCCATCCATGGTATGGTCACTGGAAAGGCCGGAGCCAACGAATTGTGGATCGACTGATTCAAGTCATCATCCGACGAGTAGGTTCATTCCGATGGTACTCCGTGTGAGAACCCTAACTGGTGTTATGGTTGTCCCACAGATTTCAATGACCATTGCGCATATTTGCGCATGTACGACGGAATCTGGTTTCCTTTCCAGTGCGCGCATGACCTTAAGGCTATTTTGTAAACTCGATACACAATCTACTGTCAACCCAGTCGATACCAAGTCTACTGTCAAACCACTAGATGCCGAGTCTACTGTCGACCCAGTCGATACCCAGTCTACTGTCGACCCAGTCGATACCCAGTCTACTGTCAACCCAGTCGATACCCAGTCTACTGTCATCCCAGTCGATACCGAGTCTACTGTCAACCCAGTCGATGATTTAAATGACCATTGCG